ATGGCTTAAAGTAACAAGGATTCAGGGTTTTGGTGTGTGTGTGTGTGTGTGTGTGTGTGCAGTATGAAGTTTTTAATGAAATCTGTATCATTCTAGTGAGACAGGGACTAGTAAAATTGCCTTAAGCAGACGACCTTGAAGATTATTTACACAGAATGTGTATTGTTACAACTCAGAATTCATGTTGCCGTGTAATCATCCACTCAGACATTTAAATTCGTAGGAATATGACCAGAACCATTAAGTTTAGAAAGATCCACATTGATAATTTTCAGGGAATAAGCTTCTCTCTTTTGTATTAAAGAAAATTTTGATTTATTTATCTCCACTCTTAATAGGTTTTAAAATATCAAAACATTGATTTGCCATGTCAATTTTTTTAATAGAATAAAGCTCATGCTGTTTTAATATGTAAATAAATGTTTTTGTATTTCAATACACCTGTATGATTTCCTGGTTCTTTGAGAAGTATTTTGCAAGATACTTAGATTACCTACTGTTGGAAAAATACAGATGTGACTTTTATGAATATAGGCCTAGTACAGATCTGTTGGTTTTTGTTACAGTGCAAGACATGAGGCCTAGGAGAGCTTTGCTGCTGATTGCCAGGAGGACAGATCCCAGATCTGTCTCCCCTCCTGTAAAATGAAGTGGCTGGACTAGATTCTTTCCTCTTCTAAGATGAGTTTCCTTGAGCCTGTGTCTTTTGTTTATATGCAGGAGTATTAGCAATGTCACATTAAATACTGAATAACCCTCCCTTCCCCGAAGCGAAGTGCAGTATGCGCTACATAAGCTTTTAGTTATCTGATTCTCCTTTCTGATCCTACAGGCAATTTTTGTGTTGCATCTTTCTCGGCAACCTGGAAGATCTTTTTAGCCATAGGTGGCGCTATTGCACATTTTTAGTCTTAATATTCCTGTTTGTAAAAGAAGGCTTAAACAACGTTATTTTGTTTTGATTCCTTTGCTTAGTGCTTCAGGATAGCACAATGTCCATTACGTCTTTCTACCTGGAAAAATTATTCTGCATATATCTTAGTTTTATTCGGTCATCTCGCTGTGAACATTTCAGACTTGCTGTGCAAACAATGGGAACATCGGACTTTTCTTCCAGTGTTAGAAACCAGTGAGCCGGGATTTTATAAAAGAGCTAGAAGCGGCCTCTGGAGCACCTTAAAGCTGAAAAGTGTACTGAGTTCCCTGAGTATTGACCCCGCCGCTGTGTGTTAATTGGTGGTAGGAGATTTGGTGCATATACGAAGGTGTGTAGTGTTTTGACTTGTGTTTGCGTGCACGTACTGCCACTGAGCCACATGAGCCTGAGTGAGTTTGCTCTGAGTTTTTCCCTCGTCTGTGAGATGGGGACACTCATATCTGCATTGTAGAATTGTGAGAATTAGAAATTATGTAAAGTGTTTCGCACAGTGGGAATGTCAAAGGGCTCATAAAGTTTAGCTCCTGTTTTGCATGAAGCCATCATTTTACAGTCTTTGGCAATTACTAAGAAACAGGAAAATAAGAAAAGCTGGTTTTATGATGAAAGATATTTGAGGTTTCATTGTTCCTATACCCATAATTTAGCATCAGCAGAGTCAGGACCGTTACACAGTCGCCCTGAACCAATGTTAAGCCACAGAATTTTTTGTTACTTCATATATGTTGGGGCTTAAGGGGATCCAATACTTATACACATGTTTTCTCCAGCAGCCAACTGAGAGATGACACAGAAGAACAGGCAGGCGATAAATGTCTCCTTTATTACTGATGAAGCCACGTTCTCCATGAAATTCAGGCCTGTGGGAGAGTGGGTGTCATGATACTGTGTCCCAGAATTAGAGACTCACGCAGTCCCAGGTAGCTCTGGGCCACAGCGAATCTTCCCTTGAGAGGATCTGCCCCATCATGCACAGGGCTGTCCTGCCATGGAGCTGAGCATCCCAGGTGCTTCCCAAGGGTGGTTAACACTGGAGGGAAAGGAAAGGTTTTATATGCCCTGCTTGTCTCCCCGGACTCACAACTGAATCTGTTAGTGTGAGGAGGGCTAGCCGTGGGCCAGGGGCCAGGGGTGTGAAGAGAGAAACACTCTCCATGGACCAGAGGAGTGGGGAGGAGGCATCCCATCCCTCAGTTTAAACAGGTGATGGGATGGAACAGAAGGGTGCTCCCGAAGAGTTTATAAAAGGGGAAATAAGGATTTCCTTTGGGACTCAGACTAGCCCGGAAACACAGGAGATGATTAGAAGGGAGACTTTTAAATCACTTTCATATCAAATTGATATTTGTTGAGCACCAAAAATATGCTACATTCTTTTCTGAGCGTTTTACAGAAATGAATCTTTCAATCTTCACAACAAGTGAGTAATGAAGGTTCGATTGTTATCCCAGGGTTACAATGTGGAAATTGACGCACGGAGAGAGTAAGTTGGCCAAGGTCACAGAAGTAGTAAGTGGCAGAGCTGGTATTTAAACCCTGGCTGTCTGCTTTCCAGGCTCCCAGGGATGGGCTTTGGGTGTTTAGAGGTATCTGCATCCCTGGATCTCTGTACCTCTGTGCATCAGTTAGCCCAGAAAGGACAGGGAGAGGAGAGTTACACAGGTGCTCACAGTCGTGTCTCCGCCCCTGTCCACAGAGAGTGCACCTTGATTGGCGTTAAATGTCTTCTGGGCAGCAGATCTGTTTGTATAACAGAAATTTAGTCCATTGAATTAATCTAGAAACCCTTCCCGCTCCGCTTCTGTCCACACTTGCCATGTGACTGCCTGCCAGTGATTGGGCTGATGAGGAGAAACTGTACTCATGGTTGAACTCTGATATTTCAGTCTGATTTGTAGTTTCATATCTCCTGTTACATTAATAAATTAAATTTGTGGGTTTCTTGCATCAGTCTCTCATGAGTTTGGTTAATGTGAAACCAGTCCATGGGAGCCCAGGGGTGCTGACGGTATAATTTCTGAGCACATTATGGCACTTCTACCCGTGCAGACCTGGCTGGAGAATTTCCGCCTTCCTCACTAATTTCCCCCAACAGCAGGGTTCTCTCCCACCCCGGATGTGAGGCTGGGAGCTCTCTGAGTAGGCCAGTCAGAGGCCAAGTCCACCAATCAGAAAATGATGAAGTACCTGGAAGTGGGTTTAATAGAAGAAAAGGGCTTCCAGGTAGCCCGATGGGCTGTTCGAGTCCGTTTGGTGAAAAGCTGTCCACTGTTTGTGGTTGAGCTGCTGCTTTGCTGTTGAAAAGTCTGGATTAGATGAAGGGATTTTAAAAAGCAGAAAGGAGTGATTTCAGGTGGTACATCCTCATCGGCGAGAAGTGATGGATGACCGCCTGTGTGAGGCATAGACAGTCTTACAAGCTTCATAAAACAGCTTTAAATGCTCTGCCATCTGAGTGCACTTCACAAGGGGTCCAGATCATCACTGGTCGTGCTGAGAGGGCAAGTAACTGATGATGGCAGAAAGGACACGGAGGCATCAAAAAGGTCTCAGTCATGTTCCCTGTTTAAAAGATGTGGCACTATGTAATATATTTGAGCTGGTTTTTCACTGAACAGTATTGAGTGCTTTCTGGGACTCCCCAGTCCCCCAAGTTTCCATGCAGCTGGGTGTCCCCTCAGAGCAGCTCTGTCAGCGCAGCTCTGTCAGCGCTCATCCTGGGCTGACGTGCTGTCACGGGGAGCAGGACGGTCAGCGTCCCTGGCTCCTCCGAGCTCCGTCTCCTCATCCGCAGAGCTGGGTTTCTCATCCGTGTCTACTTAGTAGTGTTGATGAGAATCACACGTGATGGTTGTCAGGTGTGATTTGTGGTTTTCTCTGTGATTGGCAAATAGTCAATATTTGATAGAAACACTTGTTTTTATTATAATTGTGGCTCTTAGATTGCAGTGGCTTTTAGTCTGCATTTTTTATAACTTTATTCTTATTTTTAAATAAGCATGTATTTTTATCTATTTTTATGGAGATACTGGGGATTGAAGCCAGGACCTTGTGCATGCTAAGCAGGTGTTCTACAACTGAGTAATACAGACCCTCCTTGTCTGCACTTAAAAATAAATATTTCAATGCACAAAATAGCTCTTAAACACCATCATGGGACCTATTTTCTGTATAGACAATTGAATACATATGCTATTTCAAAAAGAATAAATGTTGTTGGTACATACCTTTCTGAATATGTTTACGTGTTTAAAAACGATCATAGGCAGTGATAAACACGAGTCTTGGATCCAGTACTTCTTAGGGTCTGCTTTGCCATCATGGGAAATTACATTCTACAGAGAAGGCTAATTGGGTCTCGTTGATATTTGGATGATTTAGCAGATGATCAAGGCTTTCAAAAGCTGACAGTTTTGTATTTTAAACTAACTACAAAGTTATCTTCTAGAAGCTAGAAGTCCTCAGCTTGTGAAGTGCCCAGTAATTCAGTGTGTACATGTCTGTGTCTGTGTGAACGTGTGTGTGTGTGTGTGTGATTTCAGGAAGGTAGAAATAAGTTCCATATAGACTTCTGATACCTTTCTCCTCCAATTCAAGGTGTAGGCATATATTTACAAATAAATTGATACTCTTTTGTCATTTGGCATATTGGTGGGAATAAGAGGTTCTCATACTTATTTCAGAAGGGTTGAGGAGCAGGAGCTAAGAAAATGGGAGGAGATAGAGGCAGGGAGGTTCTTTACACTTTGTGCAGGATGAGAAACAGTAGCTTTTCTTTTTTCTTCTAAAGCAAACTGGCACTGAATTGAAACATACTATTAC